ACGGGGCTCCAGGCGGCTGCTGTGGACGGAAGGTACTGGAAGATTCTAACTAGAGGAGGCGACTCTGCTCCCCTTTGTAAATGATCTCCAGAGAAGCTCTTGAGTTCACACGGCCTCCTCTGTGCTCCCACGGTCCCCTGCTCCTCCTCCTCCTCCTCCTCCTCCTGCGATCTTGCCCTCCCCCACCTCTGCCCCACAGGCGCGCATATGCACACACACACACACACACACACACACACACACACATCCCTCTGGCTGCCTGCGAGGATGTGAAAAAAAAAAAAAAAACCTGTCGCTTGAATGAATGAATCAGGAGTCGTCAGGGCCTCTTGTCTGGGCAGAGACTGGCATGACCCAACCCAACAGCCACTGGGTCCAAGGAAGACAGGGGGAGGGGAGACTTCCCCAAGGAAGGAGGCCGGGAGCCGCATGGAGAAAACCACACATGGGCAGGAACACGCTTTTTAAAGACTATATGTGCTTATGGCATTGCTTTAAAAGGCAGAGGAACTTACGCTTTTTTAAAGATTTGTTTATTTTTTTTATTGCAAAGTCAGAGAGGAGGAGAGACAGAGAGGAAGATCTTCCGTTCTGACCATTCACCCCCCCCCCCCCAAGTGACCGCAATGGCTGGAGCTGAGCCAATCTGAAGCCAGGAGCCAGGAACCTCATCCAGGTCTCACACACACGGGTGCAGGGTCCCAAGGCTTTGGGCCGTCCTCCACTGCTTTCCCAGGCCACAGGCAGGGAGCTGGATGGGAAGTGGAGCTGCTGGGATTAGAACCGGCGCCCCTATGGGATCCCGGTGCGTTCAAGATGAGGAGGACTTTAGCCGCTAGGCTGCCGTGCCAGGCCCGGTAGAGAGACTTATATCAAAGATCGTCCATCTGCTGGCTCCCCCTCCAATGGGCTATGACAGCCAGGCAGGGCTGCGTGGGGCTGTAGCCAGGAGCCCTAAATGAAGCCAGGCTGGGTCTCTCCCACATGGGTGTGAGGGGCTCGGGCGCTGCAGCCTTCACCTGCTGCCTCCCCAGACGGGGAGCCAGGGGCCGAGGGTGGGTCTCTGACATGGGTGGAAGGGGCTTTAAACCATCTTCTGCCTGGAATGTCCTTCTTTCCCGACCCTGTTGCTCCCGCCCTGGGCAGGCCGCTCTCTCCTCCGGGGGCTCCGCATCCGGAAAGCCTTGGCTCCCGTGTGTCCCCGCCTGATGCCACCCTCCGCTCCCCCCACACAAGGCACCCTGTAGGTTAACCAAGGAGACACCGGACCCTTCCATGAGGGCATGCCTCAGACTTGCCTCCAACTTGCCCCAAACATGCCTTTCCAAACACAACTGCGGCATCGCCAACCCCCCCCCACCTTCCGCCTCCGCCAGTGCCTGGACCTGAGCCTCCATCTGCACCTGCACGCCTGGACCACACCCAGCCTCCTTCCAGGGTCTCCCCAAGCTCGCTGGTCCCCGGATTAGCCCCGAGGCGCAATCACATCGCAGACAGACACACAGACCTAACACCTTGTCCTGCAAGCATTCAATATCTTCCTCTTCCCGCCAGGTGCCCCCATTCCCAAGGAAACGTTAAAACCCAGCTTTTCAGCCCCGGCATGGTGGCCTAGCAGCTAAAGTCCTCCTAGCCTTGAATGCACCGGGATCCCATAGGGACGCCGGTTCTAATCCCGGCAGCTCCACTTCCCACCCAGCTCCCTGCTTGTGGCCTGGGAAAGCAGTGGAGGACGGCCCAAAGCCTTGGGACCCTGCACCCGCGTGGGAGACCTGGAAGAAGCTCCAGGCTCCTGGCTTCAGATTGGCTCAGCTCCAGCCATTGCGCTCACTTGGGGAGTGAATGATCGGATGGAGGATCTTCCTCTCTGTCTCTCCTCCTCTCTGACTTTGCAATAAAAAAATAAATAAAACTCAGCTTTGTGGTGTGCAGAGTGAATGAATGAATGACCCGAGCTGCGTGATGGGGACGTGGTCTGGGGGTGCAGTGACCCCAGGACAGCGAGCGAGAGGCGGCGCCTGCGACCATGCCCTTCCTTGGCGGCCTCACTGCGGGATTCCTAACTCCCGCCCAAAGCCCACTCTCCAGGGCCGCGCTCTGATTGGCTCCGACCGGGAGGAAAGGCGGGCCTGGGCCGAGCCGCGAGCTCCTATTGGGTAGAAATACTTCCGCCCGACCCTGCCTCAGCACAGGCGGAATCCGGCGCCTTCTCGTTCCCCTGGCAACCGTCAGCGGACCCCCCCCTCCCCTCCCATCCGGCCACTCTCCCAGGGGCCACCCCCACCCACCCAACCACCCACCCACCCACCTCCGGTCGCCTAGGCAACCGCTCCCCGTTCCGGTCCACCATCAGCCGCTCTCCCGTCGCCCTGGTAACCGCCGCCAGTCGCAGCCGGCCTGCATCCTCCCCCTTCTCCTCAGCACCGCCTCCAGCTCTCTCTCTCTCTCTCTCTCTCTCTCTCTCTCTCTCTCTCTCGCTCTCTCTCTCTCTCTCGCTCTCGCTCTCTCTCTCGTCCCGGGCCTGGACAAACCAGCCTGGCTCCCGCCCTTTGCAGGGAGGCGGCCCTGGACAACCCCATCCGTGGGACCCGTCCGGGCGCCACTGGCTCGAGCTTTTCAACATGCAGGACATGTTCCTCCCTTGCAGAGAAAGGCCTCCCCGGCCTCCCCAGCTCCCCCGCCACGCCACGCCTGGGCGGGAGAAGCGTTGGAGGCCTCTCTGCAGCCGCTGGGCCTGGGGTGGAGCACTCAGGGTGGGGAGAGAGGTCCCCAGGCCCTTCCCGCCTCTCTGCTGTGTGCTTGTCACCCACCCTACTCCCCAACCCTCAATCCCCCCACCCCCCAGGCCCTTCCCGGACAGCCCACCCTAGCTGGCTTGCTCTCCTGTGCCACCCCAGGGGGCTGGTACTGTAGGGAGGGGTGTGTGTGTGTGTGTGTGTGTATGGGGGGAGTGCAAGATGTAGACCATCCTGTGGGAGACGGGGTGCTCACCGGTGGGTGACCAGTGGGGTCAGTTCTGGCTCCCCCACTGACCCACCTCCTCCAAGAGCTAGGAGGATGCTACCAACATGTTTTGTGGGAAAATGGAAAAAGATAGATTTATTTTGGTGCAGTCTGGAACACATTAGCCAGGCTGCCCTGCCCTCTCCTCCCCGCCAGAGGACACATTTTCCAAGAACCCTTTTTTAGCGTCCCCTGAGGGCCCCCTTGGCGCGGCAGGACCCAGGGACGTACGTGACAGAAGCTGACTCTGCTGTGACCCTGTCTGGGGCTTGGCAGGTCCCGCTTTGACCTGGGAGCTGGAACCGGAGCTACACTGGAGAAGGTTCCAGGAGCTGCCAAGCATGCTGGGGATGGTGTGTGGCGGGGACAGAGGCTTCCGGGGGACTTACTCCCCCCGGCCCACAGTCTAACATACCCCAGGGAAGTTCAGAGTCGAGGCGATTTTACCCCAGGCCTCTGACACCAGCCAGTCTTACTGGGGCAAGACACCTTGGACTTGAACTGCTAGGACCACAGCGGTGGGGCTGGAGGGGTTGGGGGGGTGGCAGAAGTGGCTGGACAAGTTGGCACACCCACCTGATGGCCAGCGAGGGTCCTCCCTTGGCCAAGTGGCAGGAGCCAAGCCATGCCGCTTTATTCAGTTATTTATTTATTTATTTATGTTTAAAGATGTATTTGTTCATTGGAAAGTCAGATATACAGAGAGGAGGAGAGACAGAGAGGAAGATCTTCCGTCCGATGATTCACTCCCCAAGTGAGCGCAACGGCTGGTGCTGCACCGATCCGAAGCCAGGAGCCAGGAACTTCATCCAGGTCTCCCACGCGGGTGCAGGGTCCCTAAGGCTTTGGGCCGTCCTCCACTGCTTTCCCAGGCCACAGGCAGGGAGCTGGAAGGGAAGTGGAGCTGCTGGGATTAGAACCGGCGCCCATATGGGATCCCGGGCGTGCAAGGCGAGGACCTTAACCACTGCGCCATCACGCCGGGCCCCAGTTATTTATTTTTAAAGATTTAATTATATATTTTTTGTTGCAAAGTCAGATATACAGAGAGGAAGATCTTCCGTCCGCTGATTCACTCCCCAACTGACCGCAACGGCTGGAGCTGAGCCAATCTGAAGTCAGGAGCCAGGAGCCTCTGACAGATCTCCCACGTGTGTGCAGCGGCCCAAGCATTGAGATCAATTTTCACTGCTTTCCCAGGCGCATGAGCAGCGAGCTGGATGGGAAGTGGAGCAGCCAGGACTCGAACTGGCACCCATACGGAATGCTGGTGCTGCCATCACTGGTTCACACCCCCAAAGGCCTGCCAAAAGCCAAAGCTGGGAACCTTGATCAATTCAGGTCTGCCATGTCGGATGGCAGCAACCCAAATTTTAAAATTTTACAGATTTGTTGATTTTTATCGCAGGGTCAGATTTACAGAGAGGAGAGACAGAAAGATCTTCCATCCGCTGGTTCGCGCCCCCTAGTGGCCGCCATGGCTGGAGCTGAGCTGATCCGAAGCCAGGAGCCTCTTCTGGGTCTCCCACGCGGGTGCAGGGTCCCAAGGCTTTGGGCTGTCCTCGACTGCTTTCCCAGGCCACAAGCAGGGAGCTGGATGGGAAGTGGAGCAGTCGGGACACGAACCGGCATTCCTATGGGATTCCAGTGCACACAAGGTGAGGGCTTTAGCCATAGGCTACTGCGCTGGGCCCTACAATTTATTTACTCCAAAGGCAAGAATCACAGAGAAAGACAGAGAGATCTTCCATCTGCTGGTTCACTCCCCAGATGGCCTCAACTCCTAGGGCTGTGTCACCCTGCAGCCAGGAGCCAGGAGTGTCCTCCGGGTCCCCCACCTGGGATATCCTTTGTTAGTTCCCAAGAGCCTTAGCAGGGAGCTGAGCGGGAAGTGGAGCGGGTGGGCATCAGCGGTGGGTCGGGAGGAACCCGACTACCCTCCCAGGAGGAACCTGCTTCCTCCCAGCACTTCAACAGGTGCACCCAGGGATTCTGGTACTGTGAGATGGGACGAGGGCATCCCAAGCCGTGTTGTAACTGCTGCCCCAGCTCTACCCCACCGCCACCCTTAAACCGGGCATAACCTCGTCGGTGGTCAGAGAAGGGGCACCCAAACGTGCCCCTTGACAGCTGCGTGACCCGACCAGGGTGACGGAAGCGCATGGTGGTGTCTTCAGAATTGGTTTTCATTTTAATTCATCCGCATGTCAGTCCGAGTTACCCGGATATAAACCAGAACTATTTCACAAGCGTGGAGGGAAGGGAAAGGCTTGGGGCCTGAGCACCAGGAGGGGGGGTTCCACTCTGGCAGGCAGTGGAGTGGACCTCGACAGGAGTTGGGGGGACAGGGAGGGCGGTGGGAGACTGGGCCCTGGCATCCGTGCTTGGCCAGATCTGAATGCCTGTTCCCAGGCCCCGGCAGAAGCACAGAGAGAGGCTGGCGTGCCTGGGCCGCTGCGTCCGCTCTGCCCCCACCGAGGCACGTGACCACTCACGCTCCTAGGCACCCCCTAGTCCAGCAGATCCTGTAAGAAGGCCCACATGCGTTGGTTCATCTCCTGCGGGTGACTTTGGGGGATCCAGTGCCCCGCTCCGGGCAGGATGCAGGTCTCCAGTCGACCTGGCACAAAGCGGCTGCTGATGGCTCCCACGAGTCCCAGGTCAAAATAGGGGTCCTTCTCCCCCCACAGAAGGAGGGTGCGCATGGCCAGCTCCTGGGGCTCCAGGGGGAAGTTTCTGGGGGTCAAGACAAAAGGACAAAAGCATGGGATCGGATTGGAAAGGATGGGATCAGATTGCCGCACTGCCCGCCTCTCCCTTTTCCTTGTTGGGAAGCGGGGGTGGTGCGGTCTTACCGGAAGAGGTTGCGGTAGTAGTTGATGGGCCCCGTGAGCCCGCCAGGCTGTGAGAAGTGATAAAGGAAGGCCTCGAGCTCGTGCGGGGTCAAGTGGGGGATGCCCGTCTTGCGGTGCGCGAGGGTGGTCTTTAAAATCTGGGCGCACACACAGGTACACAGACGGTGGGGACATGTTCAGCCCTGTGTCCCCACCCCTTACCTCCCTAATGCTCCACCCCGGGACTCTGTCCCTGCGCTCCACCCCCATCCCGCACCTGGAAATCAGACATGGACAGCAGCTTCTCGGGCAGCCAGGGCAGCTGGAACAGGAAGACATAATTGGATCGGAAGAGCTGGCTGATGTGACGGATGGCGTAGTCTGAGGGGCAGGGCGGGGCGGAGGGGGTGGTGAGGTCAGGCTGGGTTGAGCCCTGCACCCTGGCATGCGTATTGCTCTCACATACACCCACCTAGGGCAACTGGCAGTTCCCCCCGTCCTGGGAGAATGGCCTAATCATGGTATCCGCGGGGCGGACACCTGTCGGATGCCAGCCGGGTCACACGTGCGCTCCCCTGCCCAGGTACAGGATCCCAGTCCTGGATCCCAAGCTCCCTGCCTAGATGCCTGTTTGACGTTGGGCAGAAGCTCAGGTACGCCAGGACACTCCCAGCTGGGATTCCAGTAGGTGACACCAGTTCTACAGGCCATCAGTGGCGTGGCCTGCAGTACTGCCGTACCCGCCCGGATAATTTTGCTCTGTAGAATCCGGGGAGCCTCTTGTGTGTTTCAGCTTCTGTATTGCAACCCCGTTGGGTAAGCAAGCCCAATGGGAAGACGTTCAGACTCCTGGGCCCTGGGACCAGCATCTAGCTCTGGGAGACTAGGCTGTTTCAGACACTGGGGCAGGGAGATCCTCCACTTCCTATCCAGGGGTTCTAGTCCCTAATCCAGACCCAGCTCTGCTCCGTCATGCCACCTGCCGGTGAAGATCCCTTACTTGGGGTCTCCTCTCTCCACCCCGGAGGGTCTTGTGTAGCCTTTCTCAGGGGTGAAGCCACAGATGGAAGATCTCCCTGCCCACCCCTCCATCCCTGGCACTCCCAGACCCCTAAGCACCTTGCGGTGGGACGTAAGGGAAAAAGAGACAGGTAGACACACAGGCTGTGTCCCAGGCTCAGGAGCCCACCTTGGTACACTGACATGGGCGCCGCGCTGACCACCACCATCCTCTCGACCAGGGACGGGAAGTAGATGGAAAAATTCCAAGCCAGGAGGGAACCCCAGTCGTGACCCACCAGGATGCATTTGGAATAACCTGGGGGGTGGGATGGGGAGTGTGGAGGGAACGGGTTTGAGATGCCGGTTTGGAGCAGGGGGTGGGAGGGTGGGGTGGCTGCGCGTGTGTGCGAGCATGGGGGTGGGGGGCGCGGCTGGGGGCGTGATGCGGGGGGGGGGCGGGGGGCGTCCACACCTAAACCCTGAATGATGTCCCGGATGTCAGTCATCAGCAGGTCCATGGTGTAGCAATCCACTTCCCTGGGCGCGTCCGAGGGACCATAGCCGCGCAGGTCCACGGCCACCACGTGGAAGCGGCTCTGGAACTCCCGGAGCTGGTAGCGCCAGGAGAACCTGCCAGGCGGGTGGAGTACACGGCTGGTGGTGATGGTGTGTGTGTGTGGTGTGTGTGGGGCGAGGGGAGTTGAGTCAGGACCTTCCCCCACCCATCTGGCAAGGAAGCACTGCACCCCGCCCGCCCGCCCGCCTGCCCGCCTGCCTGCCAGCCTGCCAGCCTGCCACCCTGTCTGTCCTGGAGAAGCCCAACAGTGGGATACCGAGGGGTACCCTAGCTACCCTTTACGTCCTTCCCGCTCCCCCACACACCCTCCTATGGCCTACCAGTTCTCAGGGAAGCCGTGCAGGAAGAGCAGGAGCGGCCCGTTCCCGCGGCCTGCTGACACGTAGTGCAGGCGCAGCCCGGAGCTCTAGGGGAGAGAGGTGGTCCCCACCCCGGGGCTGAGGTCCTCGGGGATGCTGAGGTCCTCGGGGATGCCGAGGTCCTCGGGGTCCGGGGTCGGGTCTCCATCCCCGCGCGCGCGCGCTCCTGGCTCCGGCACCCCGCTCCGCGCCCCCACGCTCGCTCTCACCCTCAGCGTCAGGAAGCAGTGCTGGCCCAGCTCCGGGTCGTGCAGGCAGGCCGGGGCTGCGCGTCGGGGTCGGCCGCAGCATCCTCTCCGGGGCCGGCAGAGCACGTGCGCCAGGGCCACGCAGCCGTAGACGGCGGCGGCCGCCAGCGCCGCCGAGAACACGACGCTCCAGAGCAGGGCGCGCAGCAGGCGCAGCGACAGGCGGGACGGCGCCAGCAGCGCGCTCACCGCCAGCTCGGGCATGTCGTGGGGGGCCCCGGGGGGCGGCCTGGAGGAGGAGGAGGAGGAGGAGGAGGTGGTGGGCTGCGGCACGGGGAGCTGCGCCCCCTCCTCGCCGCCCTGCTGCTGCTGGGCCTCGGGCTGCTCCGTGCTGCCGGTGAGGAGGAGAGGAGAGGAGAGGAGAGGAGAGGAGAGGAGAGGAGAGGAGAGGAGAGGAGAGAGGAGAGAGGAGAGGAGAGGAGAGGAGAGAGGAGAGGAGAGGAGAGGAGAGAGGAGAGGAGAGGAGAGGAAAGGAGAGGAGAGGAGGAGGTGGGCTGTGGCCCGAGGAGCTGCGCCCCCTCCTCGCTGCCCTGCTGGTGCTGCCGGTGGTGAGCAGAGGAGGAGAGGAGAGGAGGGCGCGCCCAGCGCAGCAGCCTCGCAGGCCGCGCACGCACACTCGCCCCAGGGCCCCTGGGCGACGACAGGGAAGCAGGTTGCAGGTGTGGGGGGGCGGGGTGCCCGGGTGTGGGGTGTCAGGTGTCGGGGTGTGGGGTGTCCGGGTGTCCTGTGGAGTGTGGGCTGTCAGGGTGTCCTGTGGGGTGTGGGGGTGTCCTATGGGATGTCAGGGTGTCTGTGGGGTGTCAGGGTGTGGGGTGTCAGGGTGTGGGGTGTCAGGGTGTGGGGGTGTCCTATGGGATGTGAGGGTGTCCTGTGGGGTGGCGGGGTGTCTGTGGGGTGTCAGGGTGTCAGGGTGTGGGGATGTGGGATGTGGGGTGCCGTGGTGTCGGGGTGTGGGGTATGGGGTGTCTGTGAGGGTATGGGGTGTTGGGGTGTCCTGTGGGGGTGTCGGGGTGTCTGTGGGGTGTCCTGTGGGGGTGTCGGGGTGTCTGTGGGGTGCAGGGTGTCCTGTGGGGTGTCGGGGTGTCTGTGGGGTGTCGGGGTGTCTGTGAGGGTATGGGGTGTCGGGGTGTCCTGTGGGGTGTCGGGGTGTCTGTGGGGTGTCGGGGTGTCCTGTGGGGGTGTCGGGGTGTCTGTGGGGTGTCGGGGTGTCTGTGGGGTGTCGGGGTGTCCTGTGGGGTGGCGGGGTGTCTGTGGGGTGTCAGGGTGTCAGGGTGTGGGGATGTGGGATGTGGGGTGCCGTGGTGTCGGGGTGTGGGGTATGGGGTGTCTGTGAGGGTATGGGGTGTTGGGGTGTCCTGTGGGGGTGTCGGGGTGTCTGTGGGGTGTCCTGTGGGGGTGTCGGGGTGTCTGTGGGGTGCAGGGTGTCCTGTGGGGTGTCGGGGTGTCTGTGGGGTGTCGGGGTGTCTGTGAGGGTATGGGGTGTCGGGGTGTCCTGTGGGGTGTCGGGGTGTCTGTGGGGTGTCGGGGTGTCCTGTGGGGGTGTCGGGGTGTCTGTGGGGTGTCGGGGTGTCTGTGGGGTGTCGGGGTGTCCTGTTGGGGTGCGGGGTGTCCTGTGGGGGTGTCGGGGTGTCTGTGGGGTGCAGGGTGTCCTGTGGGGTGTCAGGGTGTCTGTGAGGGTATGGGGTGTCGGGGTGTCCTGTTGGGGTGCGGGGTGTCTGTGGGGTGTCGGGGTGTGAGGGTCTCGTGGTGAGGGGTGCCGGGGGCGGAGCCTGCGCCGGGGCCCTGAGGGAAGTGGGGGGAGCCTAGATGAGTAAGGACCGATCGGTGTGTGTGAGAGAGGGACACGGCCTGGGGCGGGACTGGGGGGGCGTCCGCAGTGCGTGGGGGACACGGACCACCTGAGGGGGGCGATCCTGGAGCCAGAGCGGACCGAGGGGAGAGCAGGCCTGCCTGAGGGGGCGGGGCCTGACTGAGGGAAGAGCAGGCCTGCCTGAGGGGCGGAGCCTGGGTGAAATGGGAGGGGTCTGCGGCGAAAGGGGAGGGACTGGGGCGAAGGGGTTGGGCCCGGGAGTGAAGGGGCGGTGTCTATGCAGATAAGCGTGGCCCAGCCGACTTTTTCCGGCGAAGGGCGTGGCTCGGGAGAGCTGTGGGCGGAGCCTGCCTTTGGGCGCGGAGGCTAAGCCAATGAGTTGCGAGCTGGCCGACCTGGAGCCGTACCAATGAGAGGGAGTAGGAGGCGGGGCCGGAACCGATTATGGCGGGTGGGGCGGGCCCGGAAGCGGAAGGCGCGGAGGCGGCGGCCGCCGGTTGTGGCTGAGGCGGGAGGCGCAGGCGTCGCCCCGCGGCCCCGAGGACATCTCGGGGAGTCCAGGCTGAGGACACCCCGACCCGGAGCGCGCGACGGCCGCCCCCGTGACGGCTCCCCTTTACGCCGCTCGCAGCACCACCGGCTCGGCTCTGCTTCCGACGACGGCGGCTCCCCGAGGTCACGGCCCCGCGCCGTCGTCCTATTGGCCGGCGGGCTCCGGGGCCCGCCCCTGCGCGGCCCTGATTGGCCCGTTGGCAAGAAGCCTGTGCGCAGTGTCGGGGCAGGCGTCTCCAGTTCGTGTGGGAAGTTGGGGCGCTTTGGCTTTCTGTCCGTCCCGAGGACACCCATCATTGAACCTTGCCTGCTTCCCTGTTATTTTGGGCGTGGGCCGTCTTATCACCTTCCCTAAATGGCAGGATGAAGTCAGCGGGTCGGCGGCCCCACTCCTCCCGTCCCTGGGAACTTGGGCTCTCTTGGGGCTGTCCGTGGTGATAAAGTGTGCTCCAGTCACACGTTTTAAAAAGAAAGATCGTATCCATCTTTTAAAAGCAGGGTTAGCGGGGAGAAGCCAAGACCTGCAATCCACTCCTCCCCCGACACAGGGGGTGAAGGAGGGAGCCAGGAGCCTGCAGCTCCGCCCTGGTGTCCATCGCTGGGGGGGGGGGGACAAGGGCCCCAGGGACTCGGTGCTCCCTCTCTCTCTCTCTGCAGCTGGACTGCAAGCAGAGCAGCCAGAACCAGACAGGCAATTCCTACAGGGCTGCCTGCCATCCACCAGGACCGTCCGCGAGGCTGGGCAGGCTGCCCAACGCTCCCCTGTCCAGCGAGGTCCACCTCCAGGCAAAGAGTGGTCAAATGACAGCACCCCGAGTTACGGACCCCAGGCCCGCCGTGGTGTCTCAGGACAATCACTTCCCTGCACTGGGTGCTCCTGGGCCTGCCCCGTGGCATGCGGCTTTTGGAATCCGAGTCTCACCCTCCTTTGCCACAAGGCCAACCCCCCCACCCCACCCCCCGCCCAGTCTTGAGCCATCACAGGAGTCTTGAACTTTTTTTATATTCAGTACAAATGTTTATTTTTTTGCAATGAGAACTGCACAAAAAAAAAAAAAACCTTTAGTATATAAGTGAGAAGTCTACGCACTCCCTTCTACAAACGTCTCAAGTGTTTTTAACAAGTCTCAGATTCACTGACATAATTATTGGCCAAGCGGATCGTGCATACAGTACAGCGGGGGGGCTTGTACACACGCCTCTCACTCTCAGAAAGACTAAGATTTGCTAGTATTTGTGGGGAAGGGGTGGATGGATGGCTGCTGCAGGGAGAGGCCGAACCCACAGATCCCAGCTGGGCCGAGACCATCACACAGCTCGCTGTCTCAGCAAGAGAGTGACCACAATCACGCACGACCGAGCCAGGGGTTGGGATATGGACGGACAAATCTGAACCGGGAGCTAAGATAAGGATTTTGTGTGTGTGTGTGTATGGATCCCAATGGGGGCCGAAGGCTTGGAGCGCCCCAGTGCCGAGTACAGATGAACGCTGTGGGGAGAGGGGAGGCTTTGGGGTTCAGGGAGGGTAGGGGGCTGCAGGTTGGCAGGTGGCAGTGCCAGGAACAATTCGCATTACACGGAAATCAACACACACATGCATCTGCCATCCGTCCTAGGGGCTGCCTGTCTTGGGGAGGCGGGGCAGCGAGGGGGGCCTTTGCAGGCGGGGACGCGTGTGTGGCATCGGGGCCGAGGACCCCGTTTTGCGGGCAGGTCTGTGTGTGTCTAAGGAGATCTGGTTAACCCTGAGCTTCAACGAAAAGGAGTATGGAAAGACGCGGAGGAGGTGTGGACGGAGGGAACCACACTGCCAAAGTCTGGCGAGGCGGGCACGGGGGGTGGGGTGGGGTGGGGGGTGGTCCTGGGCTGACCTCACCTAGGCCCGACAGCGGTTTCACCCAAGAAATGTCAGGGAGACGCCAGCATTAAAAAAAAGAGAGATGCGTTTATTCCATGATCGGTACAGACCAAATGCATATTTACCGTATCAAAGTCAAATCACTCAGTGACTCCGGAGTTTGGCCAACGCTGAGGCGCCAGCGTCGTGCTGGAGGGGTGGGTTTCTCATGGCACGCGTAACCTCACTAGGGGCTCCAATTATAAAATTAAAAAAACAAAAACAGCGAAGGAAGGAAGGAAGGAAGGAAGAAAGGAAGGAAGGAGTAGTCGGCAGGGCAGGGGCAGGGGCAGGGGCAGGACCCGGGGCTGGGCTGTGTTTGGGGGGTGGGCTCTGTCTCAGTCTTTATACCCCACCTCCCAAATGCCACGGTGCCCAGGGCCCCCCTTCATCCTCAGGCCCTGCCTTCCTTGGTAAAAAGAAAAAAAAATCAACAGATTTAACATTAAAAAAAAAAAAAGCCAAGAGACCATTGGCAAGGTGGGGGAGAGAAAGAAATCATTGGTTTCTGGTTTTATAATTAAAAATAGACTAATAAAAAAAATTTGCAACTGAGTAAAATATAGGCAGGGTCTTTTTGCGTCTTGGGGTTTTCTTTTTTTGTGGATTTTTTTTTTTATACTCTTTTGAGGGTTTGTTTTTTGTTTTTTTTTTTTCTCCTTGCATTTGTTGCTCTGTTTTTACACCAGTTTGGTGGAGTCACCAACAGACTTCAAAGATATGCCAAGTAAGCTCACTATTTAACAGTACAGCCACGGTCACACACTACCCACAGCGCGGTGGCAGCTGCCGCGAGGAGACGGTCACACCATTTGAGATAAGCAGTGCCATTGTGTCGGAGGAGAGAGAGTTAAAAATAAAATAGACTTCAACAAAAAAAATATATATATATAGGAAAAAAAAAAAAAAGAAGAAAAACAAAAAAACACAAACGAACAAAAAAGAAAGAAAGAAAAAAAAAAAAAAAAAAAAAACACCACCCAGAAACACAGGTGGGAGAGGAACTGACTTTGGTTGGTGGCTTCACTCCCCTGGCAAGGCCCGCCCACTGGCGCCCGTGCGTGGGGCAGGCGCCGCGCTCCGCGTGGCCGTGGACACACACACACACACCTCCACGGCGCTATTCCCTTTTGCACAAGCAAACACTTAAAGAGAGTGGCTCTCCGTTTTAAAGGCTTGTGGGGGTCGGGGAGGAGAGGGGGGCTCTATTCAAGGCAAAGTCAGTGCCAGCAAGGGTGCGCGGGGCAGGTGCCCTGGCTTGCTTCCAGCCCGCGGGCGCCTTGCCCTGGCCGCCTGGGAGTGGGTGGCAATGGCAAGGGGTTTTAAAGGGGGAGGACTCCCGGGCAGGCGGGGGACCCTCACACACGTCACGTTCCCGGAAACAGAAAACCAAAGTCATGGTGGCGGTAGTGACAATGTCCTGTGGACACCGGCGGGCACCGGCGGGCAGGGGGGAGGAGGCGGCCTTCTGCCCGTCCCCCCCCTACACCCCGTGCACGGGCCGCGGCGCGCTTGTCCCGAGGCGAGCTCTGAGCCGATGTCCTGCGACGGGGTGGGGTGGCGGGTGGCGGGTGGTGGCACGTCTGTCCGGCTGGCTGTAAGGCAGACAGGCTCTGCGATCCTCAGCTGCCCGTCAGGCCTGCCCCGGGCATAGCATGCAGGAGGGCCAGGCCAGGACACCGCTGGCCGCCACTGCTCCTGCCTCCACTGCCGCCCCTAACACTATTGGAGAGTCAACGTATCGCCCAGAAAGTCACAAGTCACAAGTCGCCTAGGTGTTCTCAGAAAAGATTTTCTTCAAATATTGACAATAGATCACTCTGAAAATTCATGTCGATCGTAGCTGCCATCTGCAGGGCAAGGAGGGAGGCACAGTGAGCTGTGAGCCTGAGGGTGGGTGTGTGTCCCCTGCCCGCCCTGCCCACCGCTCGCATCCCAGGACCCCCGGGGAGGAGCTCACCGCCTCCCGGCGCCGCCGCTCCTGCTCCCGCTTCCGGGCCAGCTCCCGCTGCTGGTCCAGCATGGACTGGGGCTGGGAACTCTGGGCCTGGGGGGCGGCAGCCGCGGCCACGGCAGCCGCTTGCTGCTGCTGCTGCTGCTGCTGTTGCTGCTCCTGGCGCTGCTGCTGTTGCTGCTGCTCCTGGCGCCGGCGCGCTTCCTCGTGGGCACGCCGAGCCTGCTCCAACGCATCCTCGTCCTCCCGGCTCCTGGGCAGGCACAGCAAGCGACGGGGGGGGGGGGGGCCTTGGTCAGCAGGGTCCTGGGGCAGGCCCAAGGTCGGGACCCCCGGGCCTGCCCCAGGACCCTGCCTACCTCATGCGTTCCTGCCGCAGCCTCTCTTTCTCCTTCTCAGCCTGCTCGGCCTGCGCCTTCAGGGCCTTCTCCCGCTCCTCCTTCTCGCGGGCAGCGCGGCGGAACTGCTCGAAGCTGTCACTCGACGACTTGGCGGTGGAGGACGGGGTGGTGTGGTGCTTCTGCACCAGGCTGGCCCAGGAGCCCATGTTCTTGATTTTCAGGTCCTGCAGCAGGGCAAGAGAGGCCAGATGAGGCCCACGTGGCTGGCCAGGGCACCCCTTAGGCCGAGGGCACGGGCAGGCCTCTCTCTCTCGTCCCCACCTTTTTGGGTGCAACTGGTGTCTTCGGTTCTTGCTTCTGCTTGTCCTTGTCGGGGGCACCCGGCGGGGGCGCTGTCTGCTCAGGGGGCCGGATCACAGCCCTGCCCACGTCCACAGGTTTCATCTCGGGGCCTGGAACACAAACAGCCGTGGGTCCGGGGCTGCTGCCGCGCCCAGCGAGCTGGCGCACAGTCCTGGCTGTGGGTGGGCGGGGGGAACACTCACGCGGGGGCAGGTGGACAGGGGCCTTGATGCTGTCCGGGTGCTTTGGGGGCTCCGGCCGCAGCGAGGGGCTGAAGGGCTCGCTGCGGACGATGGGCGAGTGGATCTTCTCCTCCTTCACCACCACCAGGGGTTGGGGCTGCACCACGGAGGCCGCACGGAGCTCCTGCGACCACAGAGGCAGGATGGCCTGGTGAGGTGGGCAGCCGGCCCCGGCCCCGGCCCCGACCCCGGCCCCGGCCGAACCCTGGGGGCGCCGCAGATCAGCCCTGCCCATTACCTGCTTCTTGGGCTGTACATTCTGCTGGGGTGGAGACTGGTGGCTGAGGGTCTGGAACGCTGGCATCTGGGGGGAATGTATCATAAGCGGGGAGGGGGGCTCGCGGAGGTGACCTGGAAGGGGGACAAGCACGGGTGTCAGAGGCTGCCAGCCCTGGGGGCCCCCCGAGGGCCGAGAGGCATCGCAAGGACAAGACAGCACACGGCCCGACCTGGCTGGCAGCAGCACGGATGGCAGCCACTGGGCCCCGAGAGGACGTGCCCACCCCCACCCCCCGCCACTGGCAGGCTCAGCGCGGCTCAGCTCAGCAAGCCTGACGGTTGTGAACGTGGCCTGGGCTACACGTGCAGGGCACATGGTAGCAGTGGGCGAGCTTCAACAAGACCCTCCCCAGGTTCGATACCGGGCTCCGTCCCATAGCAGAACAGGCACGACAGGCCTGGGCGTGCCATTTCCGGAAGCTGCTGGCCACCTGGCCACCTGGCAGGGACTGAGGAGCCTGGTGAGGGTCAGGGAAGCTCTGAGCCCTGCTCCTGGCCCTTTGGGGAAGGAGCCGCCTCAGCCAGACTCGCCAGCTTTTCAGCAGCTCTCTCTCATGCGCTTCAGCCTCAGGATCGGGGCCCTCCGCTTGAACCCCTGCAGGATCCAGGCCAACGCACCTCGGCCTGCCCCAGCCTGGGAGCAGCCCCAGCGTCCACAGAGATGACACACTCTCTGCCATGCTTGGCTCCGGGTGCTGCCTGGGGTCTACTTCCCGGCCTCTCTCAAGGCATGGGTACCCCTGGATTCCACACAGACACCTCCCTGACCAAAGGCACCAGATCCCCTGCCCCCAGCCCCTCGGACAGGACGGCGCCACCGGAAGCACCTGCCAAGTGGGCCTGGACAATGGCAGGACCCGGGGGCAGGGGGGGCGGTGTGGCTGGACTGCAGTCATGGCTTGCAGGTGAGCTTTGAAAGCGACTCACTGACTGCAGTCCTGGCTGATGGTTTTTTGTGGCCACCAAATGATGATGCAGATATCCGACCAGCTCACTGAGCCACAGAAAGCAGCACAAGGCTGGCTGGCTGGGTGCCTGAGGTGGGGACCCTTGACAGCGTGGGCTTTCGGACCACACGACAGAACTGCCGGGTTCTCGGCTGCGGGACCCAAGGGACTAGTGTGGGAGGGACCCCGAGGCAGAGCTGCAGGTCCTAGGTGGACCGCCAGTACTGGCTCTTCTGAAGGCCTTGTTTACCTACCCACGTTCCCAGCGCCCTCTCCCAAGGGAAAGAGAGCCTTGGCTCCGGCCTTTTAGCAGGTGCAGCCGTGCCGGGGCCAGCCAGGCCCACAGCAGTTTCCCAGGACACATGCACAGCTGTCCCTGGCATGGGGCACACAGGCAGCCAGTCACTTGGCGCCTGACAGCTCCCGCTGGGTTCCGAAGCCATCGTGAATCTGACTTGCTGCCCCACTGATGGGCAGCACCCACTGTACCCAAGACAGATAAACCTCCACTGCCCAGGCCAGACCGCCTGTAGCCAGCCGGTACATTTTGGTTATCAACATTAAAACAAAACAAAACAAAAAACCCCAAGAACACAGGCAGAGTAGGAGGGCACGGGCTCCTTGATGAGGACAGGAGGGTCTGGCCTCAAGAGAGCAAAGCTGGCTCTTGGATGGGCTCAGCGCCCACAGCGGTCCCCCCACTCTGCTGCCCCGCAGTTGCTCTTGGAGGGACCGAGGTGGGGCTCCCTCCGGGGCGTCTCGGGTGTTCTGAAAACCCCATGGCCAGGAGCTGCAGGAGGCACCAAGCCTCACAGCACCGCAGCCCGTGCCTGGCAGGCTCGGGGTGGGTGGAACCCAGCACAGCCCGCGTGCGTGCGCTGGGGCGGGCGGGTGGGCAGGCCTGCACGGCAGCACCGGGCTGGCCCTGCTAGAGCCCAAGGGGGCACTCACCGGCTGAGTAGGGGTCTGACTTGTGATGCCGCGGCGAAGGGTGGTGTTGGATGACTTGCTGAGGCTTGGCGGGCTGCGGTGGGGGTGGCTGCTGGCTGGGCGGTGGGTGTGGGGGCTGCTGGCCTGGGGGGGGCGGGGGCTGCTGGATATGGCCAGAGAATTGCATGGGCTGTAAGTGCACGGGCCGCGGGGGAGGCTGATGTTGCTGTTGGGGTGGAGGCTGGGGCTGGGGCGGAGGGGGTGGGGGCGGCTGCTGCTGCACCGCGGGGTGGGCCGGGGGCGGCAGGGGTGGCGGGGGCTGGGACTGCACCTTCACGGAAGGGAGTAGCGGTGTGGGGGGCTGCACCTTTTGCAGCTGCTGCAGGTACAGCTGCATTTGCATGGGGGTAAGGGGTGGGGCGGGCGGCTCCTCATCTTCCAAAAGCACTTGGGGAGGTTGAGCCATGGGGGGCTGTGGGAGCAGGGGGGGCTGGGCCAGGGCAGGGGACACAGCTGGCCGGGCAGGCTTGGGGGGCAAGGCGGCAGCTCGGTTGCTGGGCCGCGATGGCTGTTGGGGCATTGTGTTGTGCAAAGCTGGAATGACACATTGCAGGGCCCGGCCTGAGCACCAGTGCCCAAGCCCGGCCGCGTCACTCCATCCTGGCCTCCCCCGGGCCTCCCTCCCATCAACCAACCCCCCCCAGCCTCCACAAATTCCACACGGGTCTGGGGGAGGTCTCCAGGCGAAGGTGGAGCCCTTAGAGTGCAAGGTCACTCAGACAGACCTACCCAGCACTGCCAGGCAGGGGCCGGTCCTTGGCCTAGACCTCCCCGGGATATGCTGCCTGGACTGCCATGTCAAGAGGGGTTGGTCCCGGATGGGGACGCCAGGCCCTCCCGCTGTCCACCTGACACCACACACACCCAGCCCAGCAAGGCCCAGGGAGGGCCCCCTCCTTCATTTCACAGGGCCAGCAGGTGCTGCCAGCCCCCAGGCCGCTGGGGGAAGGGGAGCGGAGCCACCACACTCACCTGGGGGCGACACCACGGCGTGCTGGTTGAGCTGGGGAGGGGTGCTGTGTTCGGGTGGCTGGGGCAGGTGGGGTGGCAGCTCGGGCTGTGGCAGGTGCAGGATGGGCTGGGTGAAGTGGGGGATGGGGTCGAAGACGCTGCCCGGGAGCTGGGGCTCCAGGACGGGCACCTGGGCAGGGATGAAGGCCGGGGGCGAGGATTTCATGGCCGGGGCTGCCTGCTGCGGCATGGAGGGAGGAGGGGGCGGGGGCGGAGGCGGCTGTGGCTGCTGCTGCTGCTGCTGCTGCTGCTGCTGCTGCGGCGTCGGAGGGGGAGGCTGAGGCTGTGGTGGAGGCGGAGGGGGCGGAGGCTGCTGAGGAGGCTGAGGCGGCTGCTGAGGCATGGGGGCTGGGGCCGGCTGCATCTGCTGATGGTGGTGGTGGTGATGCTGCAGGCGGACAAAGACAGGGCGGACGTCACGGGCTGGAGGCCTGACCCCAGGGTCCCCCGGGGGAGGGGGGGCAGGGGCACCCAGAAAGAACACACCAGGCAGTCTACGTACCTTCTTCTGGTCCCTCCCGGGATGCCCCTTCTTTTTGGACTTGGGAGCCATTTCTGTGGAGGAAAAAGAAGACGGTGAGGCTCTGGCAAGGGAGACCCAGGAGCTGGCTGCGGACACGGGAGCGGTGTTAAGACGGAAGGGCGCGTTTCAGGCTAAGGGCTGGTGACTGACGTGCAACCAGCTTCTGCCGGGGACAAGGTGGCCGTCACGGGGGAAGGCGGTTGGAAAAGGAGATCCGGGTCCCATCTCCCCTCCCTCTGCCTGTTGCTTGGGGCAGCCCCCTGCCCCAACAGGCCTTCCCCATCCGGATCCTGACCACCCGTGTCACGGAAGGATGACGGCTGCTTGCTGAAACCATATCCCTGTGCTGGGCTGCCTTGGACCAGCTCTGGCGACTCGGTGGCCAGTACGCCCGGGACCCCGACTACCTCTGCCTAGGAACCACCTGTGATGTGGAAATGATTCAAGTGACAGCTGAGGAAGAGTTGGATCCGAGATGTGAGAGTCAAGTATCTTCAAACACAGTAATGCTGGGGGGGGCTTCTGAGCCCCCCCCCTCCTTCCTGACCTCCAAGAACAAGCAGACACGCTCATGCTGGGGGCTGGGACGGAGGCACAGCCAGGACACATCCATGGGAGTGGAAAGAACTGGCAGGTGGGCACGCAGTGAGGATCCGGCCCCCCCCACCCCCCGCTGCCACCCTGCTTGGAAGTGAAATAGTTCTGCCTCCCCCTGAATGGACAGAGCTCACAGGGACAGATGCTCGCTGCCCTAGCTGGCTGGAGGCAGGAGGGGTTGACCCGGTGGGGATGGACCTCAGCAGACCCTGCTGTGCGACCCTGGGCTCCAGGGTCCTCTGGCAAGGTGTGCCTGGAAGGTCAGCGTGTGCCCCGCCTAGCTCCCATTGCAGAGGATCAACACCAAGGAACCTTGCCAGCTAGATGCACTTGACCACACAGAGGGAAAAGGGTGGCCCTGGCCTGCACCCGGCTGTCAGCAGACAGGAGAAGAGCCCCATGGCAGGATGCCTTTCGGGATCCTGACCCCAAGGGGCACCACACGGCTTTGCCTGGTGACCCGAAGTTTCCTGCCAGGCTGCCTGCTCTCACGGCTGGCGCTGGAAGACGCATGCTTTGCCTCAGTCAACGCTACCTCTGCCCGGAGCTGCCCTGCAGAGGGCTACGCTAGACTTCCGTGCGGTGTCGTGCGCCACGGGAGGCGAGGCGAGGGGACCTTGTGCTCCGAGAGCGCAACGCTCCATGCAGACAAGACGTGGACACAGACCTCAGCAGCTAGAGACCCACATCCTCACACAAACGGCCAGGGGCAGCAACCAAGGAGGCCCAGACCGCAGGCCCGGAGGCCCAGCTCCACCCCTGGACGCCAGGCCAAGTCTGCAACTGGGGGGATGCTCCCGCAAGGTGCAGTTATGTGTGTGGGACGGGGGCAGCGAGTGCCTTGGAGGCATTGCCCAGCACGATGGCGCCAAGGTGGCAGGTGCCTGCATAGCGAGGACACCTTTGAAGGGACTTACTTTGGTGGTGGGGGGGGGGGGAATGATAGCAACGGGAAGCTAAAAGAGGAAGCATCAAAGCAGGCAGCTTGTACCAGGCCTGCGTAGTGTTATCAGCAGGCTCTGAGCAGAGGCCCACGGGACAAGGCCCAGTGACGGGCAGGGTTCCGGGGGACAAGTCTCCAAGGACCACTTGGGACAGGGAAGGAGGGAGACGCACGGCATGGCAGACCCTCAGGACCAGACCAGACCAGACCAGACCAGCGAGGCGGTCGGGGTGGGGGTGGGATGGGGGGGTGGGGGTAGACAGCCCACTGTTGACTCACGTGGCCCGAGCCGCAGGTCAGGGTTACCGGTCGGGAGACAAGACAGGAAGGGCACAGCTTCACAACACACCAGCCCCCAGACACCCCCACACAAAACTCTCTGGAAAGGGTTCCATGAAGACGGCCTCAAGGGTGATGCGATCTTTATTCCATGACAATCTTCAACTCAACACAAACGCAGCTTTACATAGGATGGGAAATTGTACAAAGAAATAAAATGTTTGTTTTTTTTTTTTTTTTGTAAAATCTGATCAAAACACTGATTTTGTTTCCCCCCCCCACCCCAGTCCATCTCCCCCCCACCCCTAACCCCTCCAGGACCCACAGCTGGCTGGCTGGCGCGAGGAGGCCTCCAGACGGCACCTCCCGCTGCCTGCGCGGAGGAAGCTGCCACCCACGAGGGGGTGGGCACTGTTCCCCCCTCTGGCTGTTCCTGGGACAGTTCACAGCTAAGACCTCTCCAGTTCCACGAGCCCTGAGTGCTCCCTGCCAGATGCCAAGCCCCTGCCACGGGCAAGAAGCAATCGTGGGGGGGGGGAACCACCCCCTCAACACCACGGGGCATGGACCCAGCCCCAGGGAGAGCGGGCCTGGGGCTCCGGCTGCCCGTGCGCACGTGGGCAGGCAGCACGGGTGCCAAGACACTGTGGGAACGCGGGCTGCCACTGGGTCCAAGAAAGCACGATCTTTCCAGAAAGACAATGCCAGCGGCTTTCCCAGCTGTCCTGTGGGAGCCTCTGGGTGTGCGAAGCCCGCCCCCACCCCCCCCCGGCCCCCGACAGCCCCAGGCAGGCCAAAGTTCTACTGGCAACACATCAGGCGTAGGCCACTGTGCGGATGAAAATAAGTCTGTTTGGCAAAATGGAGGCGACTGGAAGTTGGGAGCATTGCAGCAGGTGCGGGGCCCAGAGGCTGCTCAGGGCCACCAGGAGCTTGTCCCCGAGCCTGCTGCCAGCTCCCAGGGATGCCAGGAGCCGGACACGCCTCAGAGAAGCCCAAACGACAGTTCTAGAAAGCAAAGGGGGGGGGGTGGGGGAGGAGAGAGAGAAGCCCCAAGAATGAGGACGTTCCTGAGGGGATGCTGTGCGTCAGGCAGTTTTCTGCTGAGATGCTGGGTTCATGACCAAAAAAGGGCCAGCATTTACTTTTAGAGAGAGAAAGAAAACAAAAAAAAAAAAAAAAAAAAAAGAAGAAAAAAGAGAAACAGAAAAACACCGCCTCTCTGATGCCTCTGGGAGGGCTGGGAGGAGGCGGCCACCCTCGCCTGCCCCAGCAGGGCACTTGTGCCGGTGACCGGCCCTCAGAGACACGCACCGGCCAGCCCGAGGGCACCTGCCAGGCAACCCTGCCACAGTGCAGGTGGACTTCAGGAGCAGCGGCTTCCAGGCTCCTGGGAGGGAGGGCAGGGCAGCGGCCCCGATGGTCTCTCCCTGCACGCCCTGGGCACAGGGGGGGCCAGAGAACCAGGGCCAATGGCCCCCCCCGGGGAGATGCAGGCCCAGCGAGCGTGGCTGGTGACCGTCCCCAGCCAGCGGAGCCTCGAGGGGTGCGAGGCGGCAGGGATGGGGTGGGGTGGGGAGTCCCGGCGAGCCGGCCTCTCCGCTCAAGCACCCCCACTGCTCTTTTGGGGAGCACCTGCGAGCTCAGTTCCTTCCTCCCATGGAGTGAGAGCTTTCCTGGGCTAATGGCACTGCGAGGTCCGAGAGTGGGGGGCAGAAAGGAAGGGGACGAAGAGAGAACGCACACTTCGTGAGCAGGCCTTGCACACGGAGCAGCACCACCGGGAGAGGTGTGTGTGTGTGTGTGTGTGCATGTGTGGGGAAGGGGGGCGGGAACTGTCACGACTGGCCAGGAGATGCCCACACCCCGAGGATGCCAGGCAGCCAGGCAGCTTTCCCCCCCTCGCCCCGAGCCTGGCACTAGGGCATGTGCTGCTGGACATGAACTAAGCCACCCCAGGGGACAGGCCCGGGCTCTGAGGAGTTCCATAACTTGATGGAGTCCTGTCCCTTTCACGGAAGAAAATGAACTTAAGCTAGAGCTTGCTGGGGAGGAACAATCTGGAACTGAAGGTCGTTTTTATTAAGAGTCCGTGTCCACTGATTAGGCGGGACCTACATAGAGGGAGAGAGAAACCAGTGTGAGAGAAATGGTGTGTAACGTACCGTCCAAGTCACAAGAAGTGAGCTGCACACTCGGCAGGCCTCGCACGCCCGGGGGGCACGCCCCCTGCGCCGGGCCGGCCTTGGGGAGGGGGGTGGGGGAGACAGGACCACCTCCCCTCCCAAGGGCCGCCGGCCCAGCACCTGTGCACGCCTCCAACACACTGGCCTGCCCGTCCCTGCTCGACCGGACCAGCGCTGCCGCTACGAGAGCCGCCTGTGCCTGCCCGGGCGCACGCTGTGCGCCTGGCACTTGCCGGGGGGGACCCTGCTCTGTCTCCCGCCGCCCCTCACGGCCTGGGAGAGGGGACACCCCCGCCGCCCCCCCTGCAGACCCCAAGAGGCCAACCACAAATTGTACCAGAGGGGAGCTGTAGACTAATGGAGGGAAGCGGGGAGAAAGTCTGGGATGGGGCCCCCTCTCCTCTTTTCCCAGGGCTCCGGGCTGCTTCCCACCCACGCAGTGGAGCGGACGCCTCTGCTACGGTTCTGGACACACTGACACACTGCCTGTTCCCTGCTTTCTGGCACTGGGCGCGCGTGGGAAAAACCCGCCCATCTTGGCCTCGCACTGCAGGCTGCATTCCACGAGGCTCACCCTCAGCCACCGCGCAGTCAGTCCCAGAATCCCTCCAGCTGCAACGCCTGCAGATGCGTGGGGGGTGGGGCGACACCTGGCCATACCGAGAGGCCAGCCCTACCCCCGGCTCCCCGTGCACGGGTGCGACACCTTGGCAGAGCAGGAAAGCCCGGGACGTGATTGGTGCCAGGGACGCCGAGGCTGGCTGTGCGTCGGAAGACCCCCCGCCCCTGGCCTCTGTCTGCCCCTCCCAGCTCAAGCTTTTCCAAACAGCAAGCATTCCTTTTCCCCTCTGAGCTATTAAGAAACGCCCACGAGTTCCAATCCTGGGAAAAGGAAATCAGGGGAACCAAAATAGCTGGACGGTGCTCCTGCTGCAACGCCAAGACCACAGTCGGAGGGACCTCACTGGACCCCACCGTGGCCCAACCGCACGGGGCCCCCCGAGACGCCCCCGAGCCCCGCAGCCGCCCCTGCCCACCAAGACCTTGGCGAGGCATGCTGGGAAGAGCCAGATGTGAGACTGCAAGGAGCGAGCAGGAGGCAAGGGTCCAGCACATCCGACCACAACCCGAGCTGGGTTTGGTGGCAGCCGTGTGACTTGGGCATGGTACTCCATGCTGGTAGGCGTGGGTTGGGGACCAGCCCCCCCATCTTTCTGCTCTGTGCCTGGCCTCCCCAGAGAACCAGCCCCGTGGCTGTGGCCCTGTCAGTCAGTCAGTCAGTCAATCAATGGACGGTTGCCAGGAGGGCTCCTTGGACCAAGCCCCGGTTCCCCCCAACTCCAACCTCGCGCCTCTGTGCAGTTTCTTTTGTTGAGTTCCGCCTCTGGGCCATGTCAGCAAAACCGACCTTCAGTTCAAGTGACAAAAATAGGCCCTTTCAGGAATTTCGGCTCCCAGCCAAATGGCAACATAACAACAAGTGGGGGGGCGGGGGGGAAATACCTCCAACGCTCCCTTCTCCGGGCCCAAAGCGGAGCTGCCTGCAAGTGGCCACGGACTCTGCAGGAGCTTGACTCCTGCAGAGGAGGGGTCCGTGGGAGCCACGTTCGCCGCCGCCGCCACTAAGCCAGGGAGCCCCCCTGGGGTGGGGGTAGGGGGACCCACGCACAGACCCTCAGCAACAAGAAGCCTCCCAGCTCAGCACAGACAGGGCTGCCCCGGGGCCTTGGAGACAAAAGAGATGCATCAAGCAAAACACGAGGTGTGGAAGGCAGCTGGCAGAGGAGGGGGTGGGGAGGGTGCAGTGGAGGAGAGCCAGAAGGAGCAGCCAGGGCTGATGGCCCGGGAGGGGCCTGGGAGCCGGCAGCCCCGGGACTGGAAATCCCTCCCTCCTTCCCGTCAGGGCGGCTGTTCCCAGGACTCTCATATTACCCATTGCATAATCTTTCCACTTTCCTTAAAGTGGGAGAAGAAATTAAAAAATAAATAAATAAATAAATAAAATTTTTAAAAACCCACCAACACCACCACCACCACCACCACCAACAACAAAAAAACCTCAACTTCTCTGTGGCAGCAGAGAGCTGCTGAAAACGCCCTGGCAGCCACGCCTGCCCACACCCCACCACTGCAGGCAGAGGCCGGCGGGCATCTGAGCGTGCTGCCCCTTGCACGCACGATGGAGCACTGCCGGGCCGGGGACAAAGGATCTGACCACCACACCCCCGCACCAGACCCCCTGCCAATGTCCGCTCCGGCCTCCAGAAAAGTTGCAAGCAGCAGTGGTCTGGGAGGAGCCAAGAGAGGGGTCAAAACCCAGGGGCAGGCCAGTGCGAGGCTTGCTCAGGACCGACAGTGAAGAGTCAGTGGCCGCCAGGAATGCTAATAGACCGAGAGTCCGCGGGCCTCTTCCTTTCCTGCACAACAGGGCCACGGGCGCTCCCTGCTGGCCAGGACAGCAAACTGCCCACGGGAGCGAGCGCAGAACAGAGTTCCATGAATGGTGGGTCTCGGATCTCCTCTGACCCACCCGAAATGAGCTTGCCCACGGCACGGGACGACCCGAGAAGCCCCGAGCCCACTCCGGGGCCCAAGGACCTCCTCCTTCGATCTCTCTTCCGGCTACTGCACGGGAGCCCCCGTTGGTTACGCAGGGCTGAGGACCCTTCTTTGGGCAACGGATGGAGGTTGACCCGCGGCACAGCAACCCCTGCTTGCCCTACGGACTGGCTTGCCAATCCGGCCTCACAGAGCAATTGGGCGTCGGACCTGGAAACCGTGGCTTCCCCCCCGGCCTTTCCTCCATCCATCTGTTCCCCCCTGCCCCAGGAAGCGTGAGGGGCAGACAGGTGCAGCCAACACAGCAGCAGGCACACACACCAGGCCCGGAGCACCTGCCTGGGTGCGCAGCGCGTGTCATACGTGTGTGCGATGCCACCTGCCACCTCCCCCGGGCTGGGAGGCTGGGCACAGTCACGGCCCAGCCCCTGTGCGCCCCTCCCCGCTGTCAGCCCCCTCAGCCCGGGCAGCGTGCAGAGGATGGACCCACTGCTGCACAAGGCCAAGGAGGATGGGGGGGACGGACGGACGGACGGACAGATGGAGAGGCCGGCAAACCGCCTCAGGACAGCTGTGCCCGGGCTCTGGAGCTGGTGCTGAAGGCGGCCGGGCAGGAGGTGGGAAGAGGAGTCGGCCCAGCCGTCTCACGGGGTTGCTCCCACGCGCAAGTGCCCTAACCTGTTTCGGAGTCTTCGCTGTCGGAGGAGCTGGATTCGCTGGTGCTCTCCGACTCGGACGACGAGAAGCCCTTCACCTTGGAGGAGCCAGCAGTCACTTCAACCTTCTCAGCTACAACCCAAGCGACACGACCACGTAAGGGAGGGCCAGAGCCCAGGGATGCTGTGGGCCACGGGGAGCCCCACGCGCCCACCCACCCGCCTGCCAGGAGGAAGGGCCTGTGCCCTGGGAGCCCACGGGGCTCTTGGTGCTGGACGGGCTGTGTGCTTCAGCACCCCGGCAGACAGCTGGCTCAGCCTGCAACCGCAGGGTCCTTCCAAGGCCGGGAACGGGTTCCCTGCTGGGCTGGGGCCCCGGGGAGGACCCAAAGGGCTGGGGACAGAAGGCCGTGCGGTGCCCCAGCTCAGAGCCCACCCAGGAGGAGGCACACGCGTGGAGATGCCCAGTGCCCGCGGCCGGAGGCTGTGCCTAGGAGCCTCTCTCCCCTGGCCACAAGCTGCGATGCCCGAGGCAGGCAGGACGGGATGCCCGCTGAGCCCGCCGCCACGGGGAGGGCCGGCTCCCCCCACCTCCCAGAGCCCCCCCACCGACCCACCTTGCGGCTTTCTCTTCTTCCTCAGACAGGAGGTGACGTAGCGCTCCAGCTCGCGCAGCGTGGACGGCTTGAGGGTCTCGAAGTCGATCTCGATCTCGTCGGGGTTGGAGTTCTTGAGCGAGGGCTCCCGCGACTGGATGATGTGCACCACGCGGCCCAGCTTCTCCCCCGGCAGCTTGTTGATGTCCAGGCTCAGCTGCCGTTTCTCCTCGTACGACATGGGCTTGCACTTGTCCTCCTCCTCGGACTCGTAGGCCGGGGGGGGCTTGCTCTTGGTGGCCGCTGGCTCTTTCTTGCTAGGAAGGGAGACGAGGCGCTCAGCGTCACGAAGGGGGTCCCCGGGGGCAGGCCGGGCGCCCCCCCGCCCCCCCCGTGCCCCCGTGCCCCCTGCCCCCCGTGCCCCGGGGACCCCAGACCTGGCGGCGCTGCTGCTGCTGCTGCTGCTGTTACTGCTGTTCTTCTTGGTCTTCTTCGGGGGCGGCTCCTTGGCCTTGCTCTTCTTGTTCTCCTCCGCTTCCTCTTTCTTTTTGTGCTTTTCTTTCTTCTTCTCCTTCTTGTCCTTCTCCTTTTTCTTTGGTTTGTTCTGCTGCGGCTGCGAGAGGGCTGCCAGCTGCTCGTGCACGGCTTTGAGCTGTGGACCACGGAGGCGGTCAGGACCCCCTTCCCGGCACCTGAGCCCAGGGCATCACGGGGGGGGGGGGGGGGGGGGGCGTGTGCGGCCCAGCCAAGGGGCGCTGGCGCGGCTGCCATTTGCTCTCTTGAGCTGAGTCTCTCAACTCCGAGGCCTGCCAGCATTGTCGCCGTAAGTGCCACCTGAGACAGCACAGGCCCCACGCTACCCTAATTGCACAGCAGGACGAGACTGGGCAGGGGAAGGTACGGGTGCACCAGGACCCAAGGGTCTCCTGGCTCGTCCTGCAGCGAGAGGACAGACCAGGCAGCCTGCAGGAGGCGAGCAGCTATCTGCTTGCACAGGATGGGAGAATCCACAGCTGTGCCCCCCCCCGCACACGGGCACGGGCACGGGCACGCCCCGCTGAGCCCACGAGCCTCACCTGCTCCTGGAGCTCGGCCAGCCGCTGGGCCCGTTCCTCCTCCGAGTCGTCGGTGGAGCTGTCGCTGTCCGAGGAGCTATCGCTGCTGCTGTCGCTGGACGAGGGGGGGGCCGTCATCTTGGTGGTGGGGGGCGCCGCTGGGGAGGACATGGGCACCACTGGCTCCTCGGGCTCGTCTGGCATCTTGGCAAAACGCATTTCGAAAACATCCTGCGGAGGGAGAGCCATGCCAGCCATGCCCGTGAGGTGCCCACGCTGCGACCCAGCACCCCGTGAGAAGCAAGTCAGAGAGGGTGACCGAGTCTCTCCCCCGCACTTCAGGTCACCCAAGGAGCAAGCGAGTGGCCCCTGCCAATCCACGGAAAGGACTTGTGTCCCCGCTGCAGAGCCAGTGAGGATGGCAGGGGTGGCTGCGAACCCACAACCCCGACGGGGGACGTGGCCTGGGCACACTGTGCATGCCCCACCGGTTTCAGAGCAGCTCACCAGGCCGACGGTGGCTCTGGAGACCAGACACCCCCGAACAAACCAGCCCGCAAGCCACGGATCAGAGCTGATGCTGCAGTGGCGGGGGGCGGGGGCGGGGGCGGGGTCCGGCATCCAGGACGAGGGGCGTGGGGTGCGTGGGGGAGCAGTCCCCTGTGACACCAAGGTGAGTGACACGTCTGTCTCCACAAGTTTTCCTGCCTCTGGCATTTACTGCAAAGGCCCTGCACTTCCCAAAGTGTCATTTTCTTTTTAAAAAGTCAAGTTACGGGGCCTGGCTGATAGCCTAGTGGCTAAATTCCCGCCTTGCGGGTGCCAGGATCCCATAAGGGTGCCGGTTCACATCCCAGCTACTCGGATTCCCATTCAGCTCCCTGCACCCGTGTTGGGAGACCCAGAAGCAGCTCCGGGCTTCGGACTGGCTCAGCTCCGACCATCGCGGCCAGTTTGGGGGTGGGGGGGGGTGAACCAGCAGACGAAGATCTTTCTGCCTCTCCTCTGTAGATCTGATCTCCCGATTAAAAATAAGACAAATCTTTAAAACAAACTGCTGGCTCATTCCTCAGACGGCCATGACTACCAAAGCCAGGAGCCCAGAGCTGCTGGGACTCCCACGTGGGCACACTTGGGCGACCTCCTGCCACCCTCCCAGGCTGCTGCAGAGTGCAGCGGCTGGGACTCAGACTGCTTGCTATGTTATATGGGATGCCGGCTCTGCAGGCGGCAGCCTTACGCGCTATGCTACAGCACGCGCCTCTCCGTGTACCATTTCTTGTTTAAAACAACAACAACTGCATACCACCTCGAAACTGTGCCGCTTCCTTCGCCGCACGAGGTCAGGCAGGCCCTGGCAGCCACAGGCACCGTCAGCAGGCCTCCTGAATGTTGGGGGCACTGACAGTTTCCTGCCCTGTGACTGGCCCTTGGCCCTGATTGGTGTGCCTTGGTGTGATCTTTAAGCCGATTGGGCAGGATTGACATATAAGCTGGGGGCTTGGCGGGGGAGGGGCTCCCGCGAAACGGAATTAACGGACATAACGGTTTTAATGGAAGGTCTGAACAAAGCACCTCTGAGACACTCTCTGATGTCGGGTGATGTCTTCCGCGGGACGGGAGACCCCGGATACCTAAACTTGCGTGTCACGACAGAGAACCAAGCAGCCCGGGACCCCGCCACTGTGCAGGCAGCAGACAGGCCACTCCACCCTCCGGCTCCCCAGCACACACCAAGCCTCGATTCCCACTCCAGGCCCTCTCTCTGTACAGCTCAGTTTATTCTGTCTGTTGCGGCCCTCTGGGGAGTGAACCAGCAGGTCGAGGTGAAGGCCTTACCGCAAGCAGGGTATGACTGGGGCACAAAGCAGTGCCCGTATGGGATGCCAGCGATGGACAGTGGATCAGCTTGCTAAGCCACCACCAGCCTGCCCTCCGCTCCTTCTCCTATCAGTAAGCAAGCAAGCAAGCCAGCTCCTGAACCCATGGAGAACCTCAGAGCGGAAGAGCCCTCGGTGCACACGTGGCTGCTCAGGCTGGGGGAGAGGGGAGGCGGAGGGCTCAGCCCGCTGCCAGAAGGGGCAAAACCTATAAGCCCAATGGCCGCCTTTGCCGGATCGATCTGATCGGGAAAGAGAGAGATGGAGAGAATGTGCAAAGTGCTTTCGCTTCGTTGGTTTCCCTTCCTGACACACCGACTCCAAAGAGCAGCGGCCGGTGTGCTGGCCCCGTGCGCTGGCACCGTGCAGCCTGCAGCGCCCAGCGAGCTCCGGCACTTGGGCAGGGAGAGGCCGCTGCCTGCGTGTGCATGAGTGCACCAGTGCCACCGGGTGGCCACGCGCAGGAACTGCAGCAAACCAGGGGGAACTGGTGCACCCCTGCTGGAATAAGACCAGGTCCCTTACTGGGGCGCAAGGAAGCGCTCAGGGCGGACTCGGGGGCAGACGCGTGGCATCGGGGCTCCCTCCAAGGGCTGTGCATGCCCTCCTTGCTCCAGGGATTCCTGAGAAACAGGTGGCCCAGACTGTGGCCTGGGCAGACGCTGGGAGCAGACGGAAGTCGCCAGCCTGGGAGGACAGGCCGGCAAGCTTCCACAGGCACTAAACAGGCAGAGCATAAACTGAATTTACACATCTGAGCTCTGCTTGGTCTGACCCCACTCCCAGGGCAGCACCTGGGCCTCTCCAACTTGAAGGAAAGTGGGTAGGCACTGCGGCACAGCAGTCCACCCCACCCACAGAGCACCCGAACCCAAGCCCTAACCTCTCCTTCTGATCCAGTTTCCTGCCCCTGTGCCTGGCAGGCAGCAGATGATGGCCGAGGGGTCGGGGGGGTTCTGCCTTGGAGACCTGGGGTGCCTGGCTTCAGCCTGGCACAGCCACCGCTGCTGTGGGCATTTTGGGGGGGCTAAGCCAGAAAATGGAAGACCTTTCTCTTCATTTTTTAAAAAAATAAGATTTAATTATTTTTATTGGCTAGAGCTACAGAGAGAAGGAGAGAGAGAGAGAGAGGGGAAAATCTTCCATCCGCTGGTTCACTCCTCAAGTGGCCACAATAGCCAGAGGTGAGCTGATCCGGAGCCAGGAGCTTCTTCCGGGTCTCCCAGTGTTGGTGCAGGGTCCCAGGGCCCTCCTCGACTGCCTTCCCAGGCTACAGGCAAGGAAGCCGGATGGGAAGTGGATCCCACATGGGGTCCCAGTGCATGCGAGGCAAGGACTTTATAGCCACTAGGCTACCAAGCCAGGCCAAATCTTTCTTTTCTTCATCATTCTACTTTTCCAGTAAATAACACTGAAAACTTCTTTTTCTTGAAAGTAATATTAGCCCAAGTCAAGTCCACACACACACGGACGGCCAAGGAGGGTGACAGAAGCGACCATGCACCGTGCAGGCCTCACCTGTAGCTTCCGGGCCATGGCCACCACCTCATGGTCAGGAGGGTTATACTTGTAGCAGTTGGAAAACATCAATCGGACATCGGCCCCGAATTCCTGAGCGTCCCGGTACTCACGGGCCTCCAGTTTGGACTGTAAAGACAACACAGGGCCCTGTTAGCGAGAGTGAGCGGAGGTGGCGGCGCGGCACGGAGTTGGCCGACTGGTCAGCGCTTGGACTTCCGGGAGCAGAGGAGGCAGGGACGACAACCTCAGGGTGGGGGGGGGGGACGGGACGGGACAAGCAGACGTTGACCAGCAGGCCTCGGGACCAGCGGCCCTGCCCAAGGACTGGCTAATGGCAAGTGGACGCAGAGTCCACACGGGAGGAGGCACAGCTCCAAGCATCAGGGGAGGAAGGGACCAGGTGCTTGGGTCGTGGCCACAGAAGCAGCACCGCACTGTCGGTTCTGTCCTGAATTCAGACAGGCTTATTCCAAGCCCAGAAGGAGGAGAGACTGGGGAGTCTTCAAAAAAAGCAGAAAGGCCTCAAAATGGTGGCCCTTCTGCAGGTGGTGTGCGCCCCTACACACGGGCCTCTATAGACAGGCAGGCGGCCGGCCACCAGTCCCCAGGTGGCCCCAGAGTGTCCAGGCCCCTAAGGAAGGGCAGGGAAGAGCTGGTCTCGCCCTTGCCTAGGAAAGGAGAGTGGACAGCTGCCTGTAGCCCCAAGCCTCTGGCAAGGGCTCCCACCTGCCGGGAGGGCGCAACGCAGGCCACGGCCCAGCCGTGCGGGCCTCACCTTGATGGTGCTCATGTCCATTGGGTGTTTGATGATGTCGCAGTAGTCGTGCAGGCCCAGGGCCTCCACGTCCACGGGCTTGTAGAAGGGCCAGGCGTAGGCGGCGTGCTTCTTGGCGAACATCTCCTTGAGGATGCCGCTACAGCACTTGAGCTGCTCCGAGACCTTGCTGCCCTTCTCGGGGGCTGGGTGCTGCTGCGAGTCCGGTACATCCTTCTTTGGGGGCTTCACGGGCCGGCTGCTCTCTCGTCGGGGCCCCAGCTTGGTGGTCTTGGGCTCCGGGGGTAGCGAGGCTGGCTCATGAATGGGGTCGATGGTGGTGGGGGTGGTGGTGTCCGCTTTCCTCTTCACCCCCTTCTTTGTCTGCCGAGGGCACAGGCACAAGTTAGAGGGTGCCCTCGGAAGAAGGCCCACTCGGAGGTACCCCAATACTTCTAGGATCTGGAGCCAAGCCCACCCTGTGGTCTGGGACGGGATCCGCTACAGGCCGGAAGGGAGAACGCATCGGAAAGCACAAGGTAGCTACGGGATGTGTGGGTCAGCTGCTCCCCAGGTCCCCCTGGCAGCCCAAGACCCCACGAGGGACGACGGGCAAGCCCTCCGTCTGGTGACAGTCAGCAGTACCCAGGACAGGCTCACCTTCACAGGCTGTTGTGGGGCGGCCGGAATCATGGGCGGGTGGCTCTGCACAGGCTGCGGGGCTGGAGCGGGCGGGGGTGGCGGCTGGGGGGGCACCGGTGGGGGCGTCTGCAGAGGCTGGGGAGGCACCACTGTCATGACAGGGGTCTGGACGATGAGGTCTGGGGTGACAGCAGGAAAGGCGTGAGGCGCAGCGGGCACAGGCGGAGGGTTCTGCTGAGGGGTCTGGGTCTGCGGAGGAGTTGTTGCTTGAGCTGTGTTGGCTACCGCGGAGACGCCGGGCTTGGCCGTTGCTACCAATCGTGAAAACGACAGGGAGTTAAGAGGGCGGTGCCGACACGCTGTGCTGGCTGAGCTCGTGGGGACGCTGTCCCGCAGGACGGGACGGATGTCTGCACACCTGCCTTCCCACGCCACAGCTGCCCACCGGCCCCGGGGCCCACCGGGTGGGAGCCCACCACTTCACCTCTGCTCAGGAGCCTGGAGGCCCGGCCTGCATGAGTGGGAAGTGACCCTTGGAGCTCCCAGTCAGAGCCGCCCTTGTTCCCATTTCTGCCAATGAACTGGCTGCTCTCGCCAAGGCTTCTGCAAACGGGCTGGGCCCCATGGCAGGGGGGCTGTGGGCATGGCTGGAATGCTGCCTCCTAGCAGCTGTGTGCGCCGGTTCTGATCAGTCTCAGGACCTGCACAGCCAGCAGGCCCGCACGCACGCATGAGTGGCACGCACTGCTGCGCCCTCCTGCCTGGGCTGGCTGGCTGGCTGGCTGGCTGGCTGGCTGAGGGCCCAGGTTCCCATGAGGAACAAAGCAACACTCTGCCAAGCCCCCACCTCTCCCCGGGGCACTACTCTTGGGCTTTTTCTGGAACAGAGACGGCCAGTGTGCAGACCAAACCCTGGACCTGGCGTTCACCGACATCCTCGCGGGAGGACGAGGAATATGGCCTGATCGCTATGACTGTCTGGCGTGGCCACGCACGAAAACCTCAGCTGCCTCGGCCGGCACCCGTGCAGGCAGTGCAGAGGGGTGGAAGGTAGGTGCGAGCCTGCCCCTCGTTCCTCCGCGTGCGCCGGTGCCGGTGGCCGCATAGGGGCGAGAGGAGGGCACTGTGCCCCATCCACAGAAGGCACGGCCACACGCAGGGCGAGCACTAAAGCTGCTCCACTTACAGACCCCCAGGCTGCGGGCGTGCTAGTTAAAACTGCTTCTGCTTGTTACCTTCCTGATTCTAAAGAGCAAAGACCATCCACCTATGGCACCAGAACCAACTCTCTACCAAGCACCCCCAGAGCAGGCCGGGCCCAATCATGTTGAAGGGGGGGGGGGGGGTCCCGTGGACGGGTGCAACACGACCATGATACACCCCCCCCACGCCCCCAAACCCCCTGCCAATGAGCTCGCAGAGGGGACGGGGGACTGGGAAGAAGCAGCCAGGCCCCTGGCAGCTCCGTGCCTACCTGCGTCCTTCCTCCCTCGTCCCCTTCCTTTTGCCTGGACGATCATGATCTCCGTTTCTTCCGTGGGCAGCTCATTGATTTTTTGCAAGAAGAGCTTCTCCAGGGCCTCCGCCATTAAGACTATGTCATCTCCAGGCTGGCGGGAGACGTGGGGTGGGGTGTCAGAACGTCGTCCCCCGCCCCAGCCCCGCACACGGGGCACACCCTGGGACACCCCCGCCCCCCAAGGCAATGCACCACACTTAGGCTCCTTCCTCCACCTCAATGCCAAGGACACAAGAGTCCAGGTCTGCTGCCGAGCTGTGAGCCTGCCCGGTCTACCTGCACGCCTCTGCCCCTTGACCTGCTCCACAAGCCACCCGATGCCTCAAGAGCCAACCAAACTCGGCCAGGGACGGGAGCGCCCTCCCTGCGGCGCTGGGGTGATCACCTCCGACTCCATGCCACGGGGGCTTTCTGCCAGGGACACGTCAGGAGGGCTCCAACACCACTCTCCAGTGTAGCCCGGCTCACACTGTCACTCCATCCGGAACACGGGGTTCCTGCACTCAGCAGTCAACTGAGGGCCTGACCTGCAGGCGCTGCGCGTCGGCCCACGTGGTGGGAGCCGAGGCCTACGTGACACAGTCGACTCGCCCGTCCCTTCCAGGCAGTTCCATCCACGCCACCAGCAGGGGCAGGGGCCGAGTTCTGCACAGTATCTGCCCCCCGCGCCCCCCGGGGTTCTTCTATGGCAAGGGGTTGTCCAATCACATCTGTGGTCTGAACCGGAAACAAATGACCTTGCTTCGCGGCCCAGCCAAGGCTGTGGAGCTGGAAGCGGATGAGCTCCAGATGTACAGGTACATCTAGGGAACACCTCGATTCTCCGGCAGGAGTGGTCAGTGGCCACGCGTGGCCCCAAGCAGCCCAGGACCACGCACGCACAGCTCTGCTCTGCGGCCTTGCTCGGGCCTGTGTGGCGCGGAGGTTCCAGTCCGTGCACACACCTTAGCGCGACCACATCCGAGTGGGCTCCTGGCTGACACGTGGCAGCATCCGAGGGGGCTCTGCTAGGAGCCACCACGGTCCTCGAACACCACGCGGCACGACAGCCTGGCGGCTCACGGCCGCTGGCAACCCCGCACCCGCACCCGCACCCACACCCACCCACGCACCCACGCACCCACCCACGGCGGCGCCCCCAGTGTCTCACCTTGTTGTAGATGTAACAATTTGTAAACATAGTGTTGAAGTCCTGGATACATTCCTGAGCATTCCAGTAATAATTGTTCTCCAAGCGCTTCTTTATTGTTCCCATGTCCATAGGCGTTTTAATGATCTTATAGTAATCCTGGGGGGGGGGGGGCAGACAGAACAGCCAAGGTCGCCTCAGTGTGCCCCCTGGCACCCGGCTGGGGCCAGCCACGTGGGCCCGGGGGGGGGGGGGTGACACTCGCAGCCCTGCTCGGCGGAGACTCGCCAAGTTCACGCCAGCACCCTTCCACCGTGCTGTGGTCTCAAGGGAGCCCCAAGACAAAAAATGCACCGCCTACTCTATCTTGGAACAGGCCGCCTTCACGCATTTTTGGGGAATTTGTCTCTTTCATATACGTATGTTAGCAGGGCCCTTCATTTTTAACTTAACACTGTTTGGGGAAACAGTCTTGTACAAGCAGTTTTTATATACAAAAGCACCAATGGCCGGCGCTAGCCTGCCCCACCACTCTAAGTCTTCAATGCCCGCAAGATGCAAACTGCCGTGGTGCGGGTGTTGCAGGCGAGCCAGAAACCAGCACACGCACTGCCCACCGTACAAAGCCAGCCTGCAACTAAGGACTTGCCAGCGCTGGGTACGGGACACAACTGACCGGGCTAACCATGCCTTTGCCAGCAGCAAAGATAACCTGTGACCCCCGACCACGGATCTCAGGTTCCCACACACTCCAAGGCCCCGCAGAGCGCTACACGGGAGCTGGGACTGTCTCCAAGTGTTACCTAAAGCACAGACCTGGTCCCAAGTCGAAGACAATTTTCAAAACCCACAGGCAGAATCGTATCAGACCAACGGTGGGACTCCCCAACGGGGCGGGCGTGGGACGCACACAGCCAGCGAGCCCCTAGGGCGCAGACCGCCCCATCAGACCCCTCAAAAACCTCTCCAAGGGCCCGGCGCGGTGGCGCAGTGGCGCAGTGGTTAAGGTCCTCGCCTTGCACGCCCGGGATCCCGTATGGGCGCCGGTTCTAATCCCAGCAGCCCCACTTCCCTTCCAGCTCCCTGCCTGTGGCCCGGGAAAGCAGTCCAGGATGGCCCAAAGCTTTGGGACCCTGCACCTGTGCAGGAGACCCAGAAGAGGCTCCTGGCTCCGGATCGGCATAGCATCGGCCGTTGCGCTCACTTGGGGAGTGAATCATCGGACGGAAGATCATCCTCTCTGTCTCTCCTCTCTGTATATCCGCCTTTCTAATGAAAATAAAATAAATCTTAAAATATATATATATATATATATATATAAACAACCTCTCTGAGGCCGGGCTAGCCACGATGAAGCTGGATGTGAAGTGGGCTCCCAATGGGAGCAGGGCAAGCTGCAGGCACAAAAGCGCAGGCTCCCCTCAGAGAGCCCCAGGAACAGCGGATAGTCCTGGGGGGCAGGGGTAAGCACCATGGGCTGGGCAGAGGCACCGAACAACACTAACACCACGAGCGCATGCTGGGCACGAACCCAGCCCTGACTGCCCACATTCCACGATGCTCTAGCCTCCTTGCCCGAGACAGCCAACCAACACATCTGTTCCAGGGCTTGGGCAGCGAACGGCCTGCATGTGGGAACTGACTCGAGGGCAGACGGCGCAGAAGCAGGAGACAAGAGGAGGAGTGGGGGGGGGGGGAGGTGATAAGCGAGTGTTGGAGGGGTGAGGGCGGCAGTACCTTGGGGGTGGTAAGAAACCAAACTACGGGACAAGATCTGGGCTGATCTTCAGAACTCTGAAAGAGAAGCAACACCTTTTCGGGTGACCCTGGGAACACCTCTGGGGACGAAAGGGGGGGGCACACTGAGCAGAGCAGGAGTTCCACCTTCCCCAGCATTCCTCACTCCGCTGCTTCGGGTGACTTCCAAGTCAGGGAACAGGTGCAGCGACACCCTGCCTGGAGCGGGGTCCAGCCCCCTCCTCTTCCTCTGGAGACTTACTCCTCGGCCTCCCCTAGGACACAGCTGCCTTGCAGGTCTGTAGTCCTATAGTTTCCTTGCTCCCTGGCCTTCAGTGAACCCCTTCTGTTCCCCTTCAAGGTCAAGTTACAGGGGGGAGACACACACACACACACACACACACAGAAGGTTTCTTGAAAATAACAGTCTCTCGTCCTTCTCGGCAGACTGCTGCCCATCTGGGTTCTAGCTCCACCACGTCAGGCCTTCCCAAGATCACCGAGGCCCTCCTGAAGGCCCAGAGGGATGGTCAGCCGGGGCTGACCTCTCACGATGCGGACATCCGGGGACTGCTGTGCGCGACCCCCCAGCCCCCCCACGGACCCCTGCATTGGCCCTAAGATGTTGCCCTTCACGGCAAGCCCCCCTGTATCAGGCCAGCTCCTGCCACTCCTTGCCTTGGAAAGCGGCCACCTGTGACGCCTCTTTGGCCTCTGCCCCCCTTTTTTCCTTGAGTTCCTTTATTCCTCAGACCTACAGGGAAAGCCCTTCCCCCCCCACCAACTCCCCAGACTGCCTGTGACACACACCCAGCAGGCCCAGCACTGAGCCCAAGTCACAGGATGAACGGCCCCGGGCCCTGGCCGGAAGGCGCAGGTGCGGCCTCCCTCCGGGCAAGGGCTGCGCATTCCAGCACACAGCAGCTCCAAGGATTCCCCAAACGGAGTCTGGGTCAGGGGCTACGGCCTGATTCACCTGGCACAACAGAATTAACCCTTGGAAGAAGAGCAAGCCACGATTCAGTGTGCTCCCTGAGGCTTGGGAGAGATCCAGTATGCTCTAGGAACAGCAGACGGCAGAAGGGATGGTTAACAGCCCTGGCTCAACTCGCCCCGTCCCCAGCAGACAAGCTGCTACCCTTGGAGCAGGCATTCTGCCGAATGGTTGGGCGATGGGCACGGTGGCACAGCGGGTTAACCCGTTGCCTGGCACCTCCGTGCACCTGCCTGCGAGGCCTGGTTCCTCCCCTTCCTGCTTGCTGCATCCCGGGAGGCCGCAGTGACGCCTCCAACCCCTCGATCTCCACCACGCGCACCACCGAGACCCGCGTGGAATTCTGAGCTCCTGGCTTCAGCCTGGCCCAGCCCCCGACTGCAACCGCCATGTGGGGTGTGAACCCGCGCAAAGATCAATTTCACATTTGCTCTGTGGTTCAGACACATTAGAGAGAGCGGGGGGAGACAGGGGACAGATCAGGAACATGTGTGGTTCCCAGCAGACCAAGACCCTGACAGCATGAGGACTGACTCCCTACCACCCATGCGCTCCCAGCCTCACCCGTGTTGTCCCGGCTTCAGCCCCAGCCATCACCATTAGCTGAGCAGACAAGCAGAGGGGAGCTGAACAGCCTCTAATAAATGAGATTCCTTTTTTTTTTTTTTTTAAATTATAAACAGACTCACTATCCTTTCCCACCTGTTGCTCTGGACGATGAGGGGACCACGCGAGCAGTGGCTGCTGGCACCAGCCGGGCTCCCTCCAGCTGCTCCAGCTCTCCAGGAACTGAAAGCTAAGTTCCTTTCCCCCCTTCATTTCAGGGTCCCCAGAGCCAAGCCATTGGTCATCACACACATCACTGAACCCCTTCCCCGAGGCGGCTGGGTGCTGGCGACCCCCCCACCCCCAAACCCATCTCCACCCTTCCTGGAGGAAGTGTGAGGAACATTCCAGGAGGCTCTAGGACACCACCACGGGGCCGCGGGGGGCCCAGCCCGGGCTACTCACAGGGAGGTTCAGCTTGACGGCGTCCACAGGCTGCTGGAAAGGCCACGCGAACTGATGCTTCCATAGCGTCTTGAGCACCACTCTGAGCAGGTACTGCAGCTGGTTGGTCTGCCTCTTGGGCTTGTTGGGGTTGGAGGTCTCCGGGGGTGGGGGATTGGCGCTGGCTGTGCTGGCTGGCTGGGGTTGGGCCTGGGCCTGTGTTGCTGACATCTGGGTGGTCTCCAGTCCATCCCCCATTACTGGCAGATTTCTCAATCTCGTCCCAGGGCCGCTCTCCGCAGACATGCTAGAGATCCCATCACATTCTTTGCTGGGCACTCTACGAGGCAAGAGGAAAGCGGCCATCAGACTCCGCGCCGATGTTTCGTATCCCACTGGCTGCAGCCCGCAAGCTCTGACTGCTCTGGGGGTAACCGCTCAGCTCCGATTGGCGGGGGGGAAAGGTGACTTGAGCCAGTGACTGAAGGGCCCCAAATGCTTGCCCTCCTCAAACACCTGCTCCCCAGAGCACAGCAAAGGCACAACAAGGCCCGTTCCACGAGGCCATCTGCCCCTCTTCCCACCCGCGACACCTCACAGGGAACAGGCAAGCCTCCAAGTACAGGAGGCTTTGCATCAAGTCCTTGTCCGCCCCTGGCTCACGAACGCGCCGTGGAGCAGGGGGCTGAGCCTGCCCACCTCAGATGACCACGCAGTGTACTGACAAGGCCTCACGCGAACTGAGAACACGTCACTCAAACGAATGCCTGTGGGTGACAGAAATCCCACGAGGCGACTCGCGGTGACACAAAACGCAAGCCCCTTCCTAACCCGCCATCTTAACCGCAAAGGGCTCCTCCCAGGGCAATACCATGGGCCTCATCAGCAGTGCCCTCCTTCCCGAGTGATCCCTGCCAGGGGCAAACTCTGCCATCAGCATCCCCTCCCGTGCACCTGCAGCTCCCAGCGCTGCTCAAGTGCAGACCAGCCATCTGCAAGCTCCCCGTGTGTTTCTTGCCACTGGCAAGGACAAAGTACTCTCACCTAAAGGCCCAGAACCAAAGTCGAAGAACCTGCAAGCTGGGGTCTGCCACATCTAAGATGCCATCATCACCAAGAATAAATCAAACCCAGGTCAATCGTCCCGAGGAAGTCAGGAGAGTTCTCGAACAACGGGCATCAACCACACCCGGGGACTCTGGTCCAGGCCCAGGCACATGACATGCTCCACAGTCTGGTTTCGAGCAGAGGCTTTGCAGCCTGCGCCAGCAACGTGTGCATGCTCAGGCTGTTGTGAGAAGGCGGCTCGGGATGCACACAGCTCATGCTGTGCACCCAGCACCTGCCAGGTGAGCCAGGAAGGGGACAACTGGGCTGCTGGGCGTCCAGCCGGGTTCATCTGCCAAGCAGCAGCTGTGCAAACTTCTCAAACATCAAAATCCTGAGACTCCCCCGATGATGCGCTGGGGCTAAGGTGAGCTGTCCGGAGCTTCGGGGTCGTGTGCCCGTGTCTCCGTGAACAGGAACATCCCATCTTCTCCACACCAGGCACGCAGGCCCCCGAGCCAAGCAAGCCACGGAGCTTTTCCAGCTGAAAACCGCTCTGCCGGTTGGTACAGAGGCGCAGCCAACTAACTGAACCTCTGCCTGCGGTGACGGCAGCCCGGATGGCTGGCCGAGTCCCAACCGCTCCGATCCCAATCCAGGGAAAGCAGCAGAGGAAGGAGTGGCCCAAGTTCTCGGGCCTCTGCATCCCCGTGGGAGACCCGGAAGGACCAGCTCAACTCTGGCAGCCATCTGGGGAGTGACGCGATGGATGATGATGTGGTGTCTCTGTCACCTTTAACATTGCCATCTAGAACATTGCCTGTGCTGTGCTTCGAGCCGCTACAGACCACGGGCCACCACAGACCGCGGGCCACGGGCCACAACAGGCCATACACCACAGACCACGGGCCACTACAGGCCATAGACCACAGACCACGGGCCACTACAGACCACAGGCCACGGGCTGTCACAGGCCACAGACCACGGGCCACTACAGACCATACACCACAGACCACAGGCCACGGGCCGTCACAGGCCACAGACCACGGGCCACTACAGGCCATAAACCATGGGCCACTACAGACCACAGACCGCAGACTACAGGCCACTACAAACCACAGACCACGGGCCACTACAGGGCACACCTCCTAGTCCAATGCGCAGTCCCAGCCAGATGTTCCCGGACCACACTGCGTCTGGTTCCAGCTCCCTTGACGGGAAACCGAGGCAAGAGCAAGCACTTTGCACACAAGATGGGAGAAGGTCCCCCACACACACCGGAGGCGGGGGGGGGGGGGGGGAACCCGGGAGCGACAGGCGACAGGGAGGAACCATCTCCAGCTGATAACGACGATGGAGTCACAGGGCTCACAGGATGCTGGGATGAGCGCTCTACAATGCCCCCTCAGCCCACAGTCAGACCGGGACCCAGCACGATCCTGTTCCTGCAGCTCACGTGAAGTGGACGGCAGGCTCAGATGCACAGGGAGGACGCCTGATACGACGGCAGAGGAAGCAGGACAGACCAGACTGGACAGTCACCCCAGCCAAACGATGGCAGTAAGTACCTGCGGTACGGAGGCTCTAAGGTCGACTGTGTCAGCCGATGGACGTTGGAAGGGTTTCCACATCCTTGGATCAGCAAGACGGAGAACAGTTCAGAATATCCATGAGCCACTTGTGCGGAACCCTCTGAACACGCACCACACTGGGGACCCTGGGCTGGTAACTGAGTGGCTGTGCCCCATCCTCGGGTACTGGGGAGGCTGGGAGACTGGATGAGGCTTCACCCTTTATCTCCCCTCTTCCCCCAGACACAGGATGGAAAGAAAGTCCTTGCCTTGCACAGGCCGGGATCCCATATGGGTGCCAGTTCTAATCCCAGCAGTTCCACTTCCCATCCAGCTCCCTGCCTGTGGCCTGGGAAAGCAGTGGAGGACGGCCCAAAGCCTTGGGACCCTGCACCCGCGCGGGAGACCTGGAAGAAGCTCCTGGCTTCTGGTTTCAGAATGGCTCAGCTCCAGCCATTGTGGCCGCTTGGGGAGTGAATCATCAGACAGAAGATCTTCCTCTCTGTATATCCGCCTTCCCAATAAAAAATAAAATAAATCTTTTAAAAAAAATTAAAGAAATCAAGGAAAGAACCCAGTCATAGCCATTCTGACAGGGGACATGAGGCCAGGATGGCGACGGGAAGTCCCACGTGAGAGCCATGTGACTTGGAAGGCACTGCAAGGCTGCCCCCCTCCAGCCCTGCCACACTTGCTTTTTGCTGGCTGGCACCAGCTCATCTCCTGGATGCCATCTAGAGGCTTCCACAGCCAGTGCCATGGGTGCGCACACACACACCTGGGAACCCCAGGATTGCCCTGGCTGTGCTCCGGCTCTCCCAGGCGTCCCCACCTGGGCTGCCACTCTAGGACTCCCACAAAGTCATACCTGGGGCAGAAGGAGAGGACTGCTCTGGCCAGGGACACGCAGGGGGTTTGAGAGAAGGGACCCGACGCATAGCCATGGTATGACCTGCACGCGCACCCGTCCCAACCTTCGCTGAACATTCCCTAGATCAAGACTCGCCAAGAAGGCCAATGGGCACCAAGAGAATTGCCCTTCTTTGGTTCCGATCCCCAAAGGGGCAGCGAGCACCAAATGGGCGCCCTCTTTTTGGTCCTATTCCCAACAGTAATCCAGGCTAGAGGGAGAAGGTAAGTTGAGGCAAGGCCAGTGCCACGGGAAAGGTGTCCCAGGGCGCCAGGGGTGCGACTGTCTGCAGCTGGCAGCTTTAGGGACAGGCAGGGCTGTGCTGCCCTCAACAACGCCACAGCTCACGGAGCACACACTGCAGAAAAACCAACGCGGACCTCGACGACACAGGCCCCACCAGGAGGCAGACACAGTAGCGTAAGGATAAAGCAAGCACGTTTATCTTGGGACCAGCACTGTGGTCTGGTGCGCTGAGCCGCTGGCTGCTCTGTTTCCGATCCAGCTCTCTGCTGATGCCCCTGGGAGAGCAGCAGCAGACGGCCCAAGTACTCAGGGCATACGAGAGATTTCAGAGAGGCTCTGGGCTTCCAGCCGGCCCAGTCTCAGCCGCTACAGCTATTGGGGATGGGAGACCTCTGACTGAGCCTTTCAAAGACATAAATCCTCCCCCAACCCAAACAGACAAAAAAGCCACTAAGTATCCACTGACATCTTTTGAATGGCAACACAGTTGCTGGAACATAAAAACTTGTTATTATCTAACTACCTCTTGACGAGATGCGCATTTCTTTAGCCTGGGGGAACTTTCAGGCTGCTGGGGACATCAGGACTGTCAACTGCCCCTGACTTCACAGACCTCAGAGCAGCGGGCCTGCTGGGCCACTGCCACCCTCCGGGCACAACAGTGAGCAGAAAACCCAACGGCACTATCTCCCCACTTCCCATATTCTATTTCCTTTGACATTCTTAACCTTCGTAGTCTCCAAGCCAACACAGCACGAAGAGGTAAGAAGCTATGATGCAGAGCAGTCCATCTCAGACAAGCTCAGCGAAGTCCCAATGATGGGACTCCTTTTTGTGGAGCAGGTGGCGGTGGGCGCTCCCCCTGCACTGCTGGTCAAGCCACTGCTCTCGGCCCGCTGCCTGCCATCCTCGGACGGGGCTGTCCTAGCGTATGGATCCGCTCTGTCCTGAGCCTAGGACGTCAGGGGGGGCCCCAGGCTGAGTTCTGAGAGCAGCGGGGATGGGAGCAGAGCGAGACCACGCGCAGTCACCCAGAACCAGACCCCACGACGAACCCCTCCCTGCTCAGCAGAGCCTCCCGTGACCTGCCACGTCCCCTCTGCATGAGGGCCTGGGCAGGATAAGCAGCAGGTGGATGGCGCGAGCATACGATGTGTAGGAGGCCTGTTGAATCTACAAAGCCGTCCACAGCAGCCGTGGTGGCGGCATCGCCATCCCCACGGAAACATGCCAGCAGAGCAGGTGGTGGGTGGCCTGGTAGGCAAGTCTCTTGCAGCAGCTGTGTGTTTCAAACGCTCTGCCCAGAAAGCATGGGAAGGACCATGGCGACGGGCCTGGGCCCGGCTCGGTCTAGCGGGTCCCTGGCTTGCTCCCAGTGGTCCGGTGGCAGGCCCGCCATCAGGGCAGAAGCAGCTGACCGCCACGTGGCCCACAAGCGGGGTCTCGAGCCTGGTTTTTAGCTGCGCTATTTCCAAACGCGGCCATCCTCGGAGAGGAAATAGAGCTGGGAGGGGGCAACGTGGGGGCACCGTACGGCTGAAGCCACAGGGTGCGAGCTGCCACGTA